CATTAAAAACTAAATGGAATACCAGAACAAAAAGAGCAAAATTGTGATGACAAACTTAACACACCTTTAAAAATACACGCCACCCATTTAACATTTTGGACGTTCCAAAAAGTTGATATTACAGAAAAAACATGCAAAGAGTTTGAATATCATTTAAAATTTGGAACTCCTCCATTATCATTAATTAAGATAAAAATTTGGGGTTTTGATACATGTAAATCTCTTGGCATTCATTTTAGTATTTACAACAAATTCATAACAAGACTTCTAAAGGAAAAGAATATAATTGACAACATTTCGATCTAATGGCAACGCCAACACCAATTGCATTTAAAAAAAAAGAAAGAAGAAGAAAAAAATAGACACTAAAAGAAAAAGAGCATTTTACTGATATTCTTGTATCATTTACAAAAAAATGGAAACAGAAGTGAAACTGCTAAACAATTTAAAGTAAGTAGAACAACTGTCCAAATAATAAAAAAGACAAGAAAAAAGAATAGCATTGGAAGGAGAAACAAAAAGTAGAAAACATGGTACAAATATTACAGTTGACTATAACACTAACTATGCTTATAGATGTTGTTAAGTCTAATAAACAAATAACAATGAAAAAATTAACCAAAGATGTAAACACCAGGCGAGAAATGTGGATGGATAAGATGGCAGAAATTGGACAAAATCTTGGAAAGAACCAAAAATCATTAACAAAATTTCACAACAAAAAACATTATCAGTATCCACAAATCATCATATTGTTATAAATTTGGGTTGGAAACTTAAAACACCAAAAAGTTATTTTTGACAGAAATACCAAATATAGACTATTAAAGAGAATGATATATATGTAACACATCGACTTTATTGTTAACTTTAAATTTGTTTTTGCTTATCTCGATGAAGTCGGCTTTTCTCTTAATCAACGAAGAACACAAGGTTTTTGTTGTAGTGTTACTTATTCACATACAAAAGAATTATATCCGATTGTTTTTACAATGATGGTCCTAGAAAAAAATAGTTTTCAGAATATCAAACAATATTTCTATTGTGTTATTTTTAAAAACAGTAAAAGATGTTTTTATCCTTATACTGCAGATGTGATTTAATGGTGTTTTCATACATTTTGTTTTTGATACGCTTCAATTTACAAAAAAAGATATGGAAAGTTTGTGCAGAAAATGTGGTATTTACATGACTTACTTCGTTCTTTAAAGTCCACAATTGAATGCAATTGAAAAGTGCTTTTCAATTGCGTTGTATTATATATAACCAAATATAAGATATTAAATTTAAATTATACATTTAATATTTTCAAATTACAAAAAAAACTATTTGAACCAATTAATGGTTGACAACACAACTTTTCTCGAAGCAATAAAAACACGACTAATTATCAACAAATTTTGATGGACACCACAATTCCAAAAAGATTGAAACGGATCTATTTGCTGTTATTATAAGTGCTTCTTTGCTTCGAGTGACAAAACAACATACAAACGATTTACGTTTAAAAACCGGAGAGTGGGTTGACAGAGCCAGAGAAGTATTGTTTTTTGAAAACAATGACAAACCCAACTATAAAATTATCGGAGTTAAAATACCGGCGTGTAATAACAAAACTATACTTACCTTTGATAAAGATGTTCATTTTGTGGCCACACCAACATTCAAATCAAAAGATGATGCAATGGAAATACTAGAAAGAGGTATACAATATGATCCCCTTCTTATTTCATCGTATTTATTGTGAAATTATGAAATTGTGTCAAATGTACAACAATACAAATATGACAGAAATAAACAAGAAAAAGTATCGACAAATCAAAATGCAACAATTTTTAACATCGAACAAATGAAATAACGAACGAAAAAAAAACAAATGAAAAGTTGTCAAATTGTGATGTTATAAAATATGGGCCAACCTGTTTTTCTCGCCAAAATATAGTGAACCAATAAATCGATCAAATGACATTTTTTCAATGACTTAATTAATCTTCCATCATGAAATGATATTGAAGAAAATAAAAATGAAAATTCCAACCAGATGTTGAAATTTGAAATATTTAATTTTTATACATTTGGATCAAAATGAGAAATGATACAATTCGGGGAAACAAGATATATATTTCTGATTGGCAAAATTGTTTTGGAGTGATTGAGTGAAAAACTAATTAAAATAGAAATTACAAAAATAACAAATGAAAACGTTTTTATCTTACCACTTTACCATAACATGCATTCTATGATGGTAGGAGTTTTTATAAAAAAACGAAAGAGTATTATTTGTTAAAAAATTATTACACATTAATAAATTATGAATGCAATTTTTAAATATGGTTGCGTCTTTTGTACAAAGAGAATTTAAACAAAAAATTGATTTTGGAATTAATTATCTTACTGATATTTAAGTGCCTCAGCAAAAATATAGAACATCTTGTGGAGTTTTTGTTTTGTATATTATTGAAACCATTTGAAAATATGGGCTCACTACAAAGAAACAAATACTGAATGTATTTAATTACACAAACACAGT